TTGCTAAAACAATGATAATAATAATAACAATAAGAAGAAAGTCTTAGCTCTACTGGGTATTACATACAATAAAGAAAAGTTTTAAAACTTTATGCAAAAATAGAATCAGATATCCACAATCAGTTTGTATTTTGTAAAAGGCAGTAAAATGTAACATTGGAGCTGTGAACTCTAGAGTCAGACTACCTGGGATTTAGGGTCCTGCCTGCCCTACTGACCGGCTGGGCCAATGACCTGAGCTCAGCGTGTCCCTCTCCTCATCTGTAAAACGGGGATGACAGTATCTCCCATACAGACGTGTTATGAGTTATGAGGATTTGTAACAAGATCTTAAAATATTGTACAGCATGTAATAAATACTCAGCAAACATGAACTATGATGATGATAGTGATGGTGATGGTGGTGATGGTGGTGACATTTGAGTACTCTGCAAGAGTTAAAAATTAGAAGGGGGGGGGGTCTCAATTGGTGTTCCTCACCATCATCATTGATAATGAACACTGAAAAGTGAACACTGTCTTCTCCTTCCCTTCACTCTCCTCCATGCTGAATGTGTCCATGCCATGTAGAGCACTACAAGGGACTCTGGAAGAGCTGTGATTGAGCCAGTTGACTTTTCCTGACCCTCACGCTCCTTTGCGGTTATTCTCATGGGTCGCTAGGAGCCCGGATGGGCACGATTCTTTATGAAGGATTAGCAGGGGGGAGTAGTATTAGGCTTGAGGTGAGAGAGGAGAGTTTGAGGAGGGCCATGGGTGGGGAGCTCCAGAGGGGCAGTACGTCAAAGGCTGTGGGGCAAGGGTGCCCAGGGGAAGGATCTTCAGCTCTAACGGTGGGTAACTAAAGAACTTCCCTCTAGGGGCGCCTGGGTGGCGCAGTCGGTTAGGCGTCCGACTTCAGCCAGGTCACGATCTCACGGTCCGTGAGGTCGAGCCCCGCGTCGGGCTCTGGCCTGATGGCTCAGAGCCTGGAGCCTGTTTCCGATTCTGTGTCTCCATCTCTCTCTGCCCCTCCCCCGTTCATGCTCTGTCTCTCTCTGTCCCAAAAATAAATAAACGTTGAAAAAAAAATTAAAAAAAAAAAAAAGAACTTCCCTCTCAACTGCCAGAAACAAAGCCCTCTTGCTACGACTGCCCACCTTCTCTGACATGTGGACCTGGCCTTGGCGGCTTCTCCAGAGGGCTGCAAAGCTGCTAATCTTCTTCTCCATCTCTCTGGAAACTCCAGCTGGGAGGCAGCGACGAGATTTCTGTATCTTGATCTCAGTGTTTTCTGCTTCTCCTTCCCACACTTCCCAGCACCACTGACGATCTTCCTGCTGTCAGGTCTTAGCAGCAGGAAGTGGACTCCCAAATCAGAGTTTCTCCTTGTGCACCTTCCCACCTTATGTCACAGCCCGGTGGACGTAAAAGATATTCGTGATGGGTTCATGGACATGGTCACTCATTCGGCCAACAACATTTCATGAAGGGAGAAACAATGGGCATTATAGGGGCCCCCAGAAAAGCAAACTTAAATAATTCTGAAGTATGGCACTGTATTAACGTAAATTATGAAAACAAAATACTATGGTCAAAAATGCTTTGGAGTCTCAAAGTAAAAAACAAACAAACAAACAAACAAAAATGCTATCCACGAAATACTTGCAAATGTACCTTCATGATAAAGAAAGATGAATTAAATATAAACAGTAGTTTTATGACTGTAGAGCAAGTGGACATATTTTGAGTCTGATGGCCCAAGTTTATTATTATTATTGATTCAAATTTTGTATACTGGCTGCCTTGTTTTTTAAATAAATTAATGTAAACAAAATATTTAGTGTAAACCTATTAGGCAGATTATAGTTACCGTATTTGCTGTTTTCTCTATCAACAGGTGGAGCATGTTGAATTTGTTTATTTACTCTCAAACCACTCTTAGGTCATTGTCAGATGAGAGTTGACATGATTAACTTCTCAGCCCTCATCTGTGTGAAACACCAAGAAACAAAAAAAGTCACTTCCTTATAGCCCTCTGCAGAGCCCCAGAAGCTGCCACGGTGCTCACGGGTCACCTCTCTCCTCCCCAGCGGTGCTCATGGGGTAGAGGCATCGCCCTACCCTGGCCGATCTTTTGTGTTTTCCCCATGCACAGCAAATCCCAGTTCATTAACCGAGACCCTCACTCATATACTTTATTACTCATTGGAAAGAAAGGAGAATGTGGGATTGGCGTCACCATTGGCTTTCTTTTTCCTCTCCCTGCCCCAACTTCTGGGTGGTGGCAGCCCTCACTGGATTAAGCTTTGTGTAATTCTGAAGCTATATTCTGGGCACCTGTGTGGCTCAGTCAGGTAAGCATCCAACTCCTGATTTTAGCTCAGGTCATAATCTCCCCTTTCGTGAGTTTGAGCCACAGAGCCTGCTTAGGATTCTCTCTCTCTCTCTCTCTCTCTCTCTCTCTCTCTCTCTCCCCCTCTGCCCCTCCCCTGGCTTGTGCTTTCTGTCTATTGAAAAATAAATAAATAAAATTTAAAAAATAAAATAAAAAAAAATGTGAAGCTGTATTCATAAAAGAAATATCAAGATCCTGCAGAAATAATCCAAGAAGGGGTGCCTGGGTGGCTCAGTTGGTTAAGCATCCGACTTTGGCTCAGGTCACGATCTCTCAGTTCACGAGTTCGAGCCCTGCGTTGGGCTCTGTGCTGACAGCTCGGAGCCTGGAGACTGCTTTGGATTCTGTGTCTCCCTCTCTCTGACCTCCCCCACCCCCCGACCCCCACTCACACTCTATCTCCCCCTCTCTCTCAAAAATGAATAAACATTAAAAAATTTTTAAAAAGAAACAAAGAATCCAAGAAAAACTGGAAGCTGCTATAGATATATATATATTTTTTGTTGTTCTCTTCTTTCTGGAACTAGGGGCTGATTGTTTTGAGATGCATAATGTAGCTGGAGCCAGTGGACGAAGGAGCCAGTTCTTATTTTAGGAAGCGGCCTTCAAGCTCAATTAGAAATCACGAGACCCAGTTTGAAATTCCCAGTTTTGCAGAATATAATATAAAAAATTATCCGTTTTTTTTTAAATTAACTCAGGCAAGGCTATTAAATCTATTTGACTCGGGGTTTTCTTATTCCTCCCCCCCCCCCATTTCAAACCAAAGGTGTTTTGGTTCCCATAAAGAAGAACTAAAATAATTATAACTACATTCATCTGACTAGCATTTTCCATGTGACAAAATGTCTTCATGCACTTTTCCTTTTTTGGTCCTGTGCCCGTTCTTTGAGGTCACGCCCACCCTCATCTGACACTCGAGGAAACTGACCTTCAAAGGTGAGGTTCACTGGCCGACATCATGTGGCTTTTAAGCAGTGGATCAGGGCTGGAGATCATCTTCTGACCGTGAAGAATTACTCTTATCCTGTGAAGTTGTATTTGCGGGAATGACAGACTGGCTGCACATACAAAGTTAGTCGAGTCTCAGAAACCCAAATAAAGAGGTGGGAACCCGCTTTGTGAAGTGGTTAGAAATGGGCTAAGACCTCCAAAAACAAGTAATTGTTCAAAACTCAGATCCACAATGCTCCTTTTGCGGACAGTATTTCCTCTCCTGCTCCTGCTGACATGCATTGGGATACAGCTGACTCAGCCTCACTCCATGACTTGACTTTTCTTATCTATGTGTGACAACCTCAGGGAACAAAAGGTGCTTTCTTGCGTCCAGGGCAAACAATAATGACAACTTACATCCTGACTCTGCTAATATTTGCGGTGTGATTTTGGGCAACCATTTCTCTTTCCCAATCCTGTTTCCTCACCTGTAAAATGGGTATACAAATTCCCACTCTGTTGAATTTTAGTGACTACTAACCGAGATTTTAATGCTAGCTAATCCCGATAAACACAGATGCTTTATCAATGCAAGTGCCTCCGCCTGCCCTTCACGCATCTGGCTCTTGAATGTCTCTGTTTTGCCTCAGACTCGACACTAAAGCCAGGATGATTTGAGCTACAAAAGCTGAATACGTAGTTATTACCTCCTGGAATGTCAAGGCTTGTTATGGTTCAACTACCTGACGGGAGGGGGATGCGCCACCTTACTTGCCCTGACAGGCTGCCTCCCCAGTGGTGCCCTCCACACCTGCCATCTCCTCCTTTTCCAGGGCACACAGGGCTGGCAATGAGCAGGCCTTCACATGTGGTTGTTGAATAAATGAACAGGGGTGGCCTGAGTTTAACTCCTATCCCACAGCTCTCATAAAAGGGCTCTGTAACAAGGCACGATTTTCCTTAATTATCTGGCTAATCACAGAGGGGCAAACATGAAGAATATGGGTGTCATATTCTAATAATCGAGCTAAGAGCACCCCATTCCCCACACATTCTCAGCTGCAGGTTCAGAGGCCACTTCATGTGGCAGCACAAGAACAATGTCACCCTGAGGCTTGGGGAACTGCCGAAGAAGGAAGTAGAGTCTGGAAGGTGGTCTTCTTTAAACTCTAGGTATTGCCTCTCAGAGGCGGCAAAGAATGGCTCTGCGAAGAGACCAGGATGGCCATGGTTGATACTTTCAGAGCTTCCTTACTACCTACCCCAGTTTCTCGAGGGTGTTGCAATGCTTGGAACTGTCCAAGCTGTGTCAGTTTTCATCCAATTTCTCGTTGGTTCTTTCGACAAGTAATTACTGAGAACCTTTTACATACCAGGCACTCTGCTGCGTGTTGCATAGACAGTGCCCAACCCTAAAAGAAAGGCACTTTAGGGGCGCCTGGGTGGCTCAGTCGGTTGAGTGCCCAACTTCGGCTCAGGTCATGATCTTGCGGTCTGTGAGTTCGAGCCCCGCATCAGGCTCTGTGCTGACAGCTCAGAGCCTGGAGCCTGCTTCAGATTCTGTGACTCCCTCTCTCTCTGCTCCTCCCCTGCTCACACGCTGTCTCTCTCTCTGAAAAATAAATAAAGATTAACATGCAGTCATTAAAACTGTGTTAAAAAAAAAAAAAAGAAAGGCACTTTAAGGTCGTTCGATCCAACCATTGTCTATAGTTGAATACCTTTATTGATACATTTTTCAGTCTCCAAAAATTAATGGAGGACCATTACGAACCTCGGATGGAGACCCACGTCTTCTGCCGAAGACAACACAGCTCTTTGTCCTTATGGCTGCTCTGAAATGAGAAGTTCCTTCTTGTAGTGAGCCCACAGATGTCTCTGGTCCTAGTTCCACCCCTCTGGGGCCAGAGAGAATAAGTTCAATCCCTCTCCGTATGCAATCTTTTCAAAACTGTGCAGTCAGCTCTTGCACCTCCTGAGGCTTTGAGAAACGTTTTTGGAATCCTTGTGCAGCGCTGCACGTGACGTGGGCCCGTTTCTGTCCTTGCCGCCATCTCCCAATCCCCGAGGATGGTGGACCAAGAGACACAAATGGCAGGAAGACGATATCCTGAGATTTCGGTGAACCACATGAAGGGGAACGGACGCGTGTAGGGTCTGAAGATATCCAACATGTAGCCAGTACAAAACATGGAGCGAATGAGTTAGCCGGATATTAACTGCAAGGGGATGGAATAAAAATAGGGCCATTCAGACAGATCTTCAGGAAAATTTCCCAACCATGAGCCCGGACTGTGCCAAACCCCAAACGTTTGGAAAATAGCTTGAGATGTTCAACGAATCCCAAACTTGAGCATTTGGGGATGGTTTGTCCTGTCTTAATTGCCCCTGTTTTCACTCGAGTAAGTTGACAAGACACTCACTTGCTGAATTTCTTCCAGAGAAAAAGTGGTTTCTGATTCAACACAATGAGAGCCTCTCCTTCCTTTTTTTTTTTTTTTTTTTTGGTCTCTTCCTTCTCTTTCTCTTCGTTGTTGGCCAAGGTTCTTCCCCAGAGACCACGATTCCCCTCACTGAAGACTCTTTTCAGTGTCAGGTATGATGGGCATATTGAGAAGGCTGATTTATAGTCAGCTTGAAGTTTCTCTTTTAGAGAAAAAAACTGACCATCCCTCCTCCTAAGTAGCTGGCACGTGTGCTGCAAATGTATTAAACGCTTCCAGATTAGATTACAGCAGAGCACAGTCTATCTTTGTACAAGGCTAATGGGCCACAGCTTCTAGACAGGCCTCTGCTTTCTGCCAGGGAATTCTCTTCTCGGCTCAGGTAGAGGGGCCCTACAATGCACAGAGAATAAAGGCCTCAGCATCCCAGAGACACATACTGGGGATGGCTGGCTCACACGCCTGGGTCACCTAGACTGCCCTGGGGACCCTGATGAGGAGACTCTCCCATAGCTAAATCTGGTATCACTTCCCTTCCAAGAATCACGAGGCAGTGTGTAAGATAAAAGAAGCTGCACTCAATTGGACTAAGCCAACCTCTCAGGATATTTGGTATGAGCTTGGTGGCACAATACCAAGCCTGATGGCAATGCTTCTGTGTGACATGGTCACTTGAAAAAGAGAGAAGTGCTGGGACTGAGGGGTGCTCTTGGGAGGTGGCAAGGAGGTCGATGACAGAAGGTTGGTCTTTCCTTTTCACAAATGGAAGATTCTTTATCATCAGAAATAGGACAGCCCCGGGTTTGCCAGCACTCGTGATGCAGTTTGCTCACTCATGAAGAATGGAGACCTGAGTAAATTAAAAAATATATTGTCCTTCAGGCTACTCAGATTCACAGGTTAACTAAGGCAGAGGATGGTCTATCAGACACTGTTGGCTGTCTACCCAATATCCATTCTCCCTGTCACCCTAATCAGAGAACCCTGATTGTGGCAGACACTTACCTCACTCCATTATAAAGCCGCATTTCCCAGCATCCCTTGCAACAAAGGCTAGCCTTGGGACAGAATTTTGGCCAAGGAGATATAAGCAGAAGTCTGTGGAGGATTTCAAGGAAAGTTTTCTTTCAGAGAAGGGTCACTACTTTCTTCCGTGTTGCTTCCTTTTCCATCTTCCTGTTGCAAACATGGATATGGGCTGGAAGGATTGCAGCCATCTTGGGACCATAAGAATGCAAGCCACACATTAGATGGCAAAGCAGGAGGATGGAAGAAGCCTGAGATGTGATGACATCATGGATCTGAAGCACAAGACTGGACTGCATCTCTCTGCAACTCTCCCTCTCACCCAACACACACACGCACGCACGCATGCACACACTGTCTTATCTAAGGAAATGGAACCACAGTCCTCCCCAAAGCTTTAGGACTCAACCTTGACTCTTCATGTTCCCTTGTAGCCCCTTCCACTCTTCCGTATCCAATTTATTATCACGTTTGTTGATTCTACCAGCACAGCGTATCTCAAATTCACCTACTTTTCATCTACGCTGCCCCCTCCAGAGTGAACTCATTACCACCTGGAATGTTACAGGAGTCTCTTACTGGGTCTCTCCACAAGGTCTCTGCTTCTTGTAATCCATCCCTACGAAGCAGAAGTGCTTTCTAAAAAGAGATCAGGTCACACCATTCGTTACGCTCCCACTTAAAGCTCTTCTGGCTCTCCGCTGCCTTCAGCATGAAATCACAACTACTCACAATCACCCCTGAGGCCCCGCATGGCCGGATACCCACCTCTCCATCTCACCTCTCGCTGTTCTTCTCTCTGCTTTCAGTGGCTCAAAACCACCCATTCCCCATCCCAGATGCTCTTTCCTTCAGCTCAGCTCCATCTCTTCCTTCAGGTCTTAGCTAATGTGTCAAGCAGACCTTCTTGTCCACCACATCTAGAGAAAATTCCCCTGCTGTTTCCCTCCATCCAAGGTTGGAGGAACTGAATTGGTTTATAATGTTTGAATTGGTTGGCATCCTTGGATTTATTTGCTTTGAGACCGTCAGCTTCTCAAGGATAGAACCACATGTCTTTCTTGCTACCTTTTATCCCCCCTAGGCTAGTCAACTGCCTAGAACATAGTTAGAGCTCAGTAAGTATTTGTGGAAGAAATGAACAAAACAGTTCATTTTATATGCTTTTTAGAATCTGTGGTAAGGAACACTGTGTTTTAAGAGAGGAAACCTAACACAGTGATACAGTTCATGGACCCCAGAGCCATTAAGTACTTAGCAATGACATGATCTTGGGCAAAGAACTTAACCTTGGTTGTTTCATCTGTAAAATGGGGATAAAAATTCGCCTATCTTGTAGGATTGCTGTGAGGATTAATTGAGTTAATTCATATGAAGTCATCGGACCTCCTCTTCTTCTTTTTCTTCTTCCAGTGAGACAGAGATTGTGTTTCATGTATATGTTTGTTTCTCCAGTGCCAGCGAGAAGTATGGTCCAGACTGGATTTACTATAGCATTTATTGAAAGAACAAAAGTAAGCACAAAAGAACAAATTAACAAACCAGAGATCAATTCCAGACCTAGGATGATACTCTTTAAAAAATATTTTATTTTGTGAGAGAAAGAGGCTCGAACCCACAAACCGCAAGATAATGACCTGAGCAGAAATCGAGAGTCGAATGCTTAACCGAGTGAGCCACCCAGGTGCCCCCAGACCTAAGTTGATATTTAATTGATTTACAATGACACAAGTCTAAAAATATTCAATAACACAGCCATTATCCAGGTAATTCCAGCAACATCCAGGTAATTTCTTCTCTATCAACAGAAGGTGCACAGTAACTAAGTGAACTGCAAGGTCACCTGAAGGTCTTTAGGGACTCGTGGCTGGCCCTGCAGAGAGAATTGTGAACCCCTGGTCAGCAATCCACCATTTCTGCTCAGCGCCAGTAGGATCCTCTGAAGCTTCCACACCCCTCTTATGAAAGAAGCAGGTGGAGTTGTTTTATTCATGTTAAAAACAAAATGACTAAAAATGGCAGAAAGCAATACAAACGCTCCTAAAATGAAATCAGTGACATATATGCAGCCATCTGCAATCCATCTGAGAATCCAGAACCCAGGAAGAATTTAGTTTCAGGAAGGAAAAGAAACAAAAAGATGCAGCAGGCAGCACTAGGAAATAGCCTTCAGAAATGTTACAGTGTACAGAGTAGCCTTCAGAAATGTTATAGTTTACAGAGGTCAGAAAACCCAACAGGGACAGAACACAGCTATAGGGATTGTTTTCCAAAGCTGGAAAATTACCACATCTCCTGGTAATTGCTTATTTGTGTAAAAGGGCAACTCTGTGGATTCCTTGAGGGTAGGGAGAGTGCCTTAGTCTTCCCTACCTGAGCTTCTAAACTACACACATGGATTCCTCTGAGGACCTTGACAATCATAGTAGGTGCTCAAGAAGTATCTGTTGAGAGAATGGATGAGAGATTAACTCATCAGTACAACACGGAGCCCGGGCCTTGCCCCTCCCGACATTTAAAGATAAGTTTGGGGAATTGTTGGGGTTCCTGGGTAGCTCAGTCAGTTGAACATCTGACTCTTGACTTCTGCTCAGGTCACTATCTCACGGTTCGTGGGTTCGAGCCCCACCTTGGCCTCCACACTGTTCAGAGCCTGTTTGGGATTCTCTCTCTTCCTCTCTCTCTGCCCTTCCCCTGCTTGTGCTCTCTCTCTCCCTCAGGGTGGATGAATAAACTTAAAAAAAAAAAAAAAGAAATTTTGGGAATTGTAACTGGTAAATGGATATAAAAAAGGATAACTTGTAAATGTGAGAGGCATTGCTCTCAGCCAATTGTATTCTCTTCTTTGGAGAAATACCTATGCAACTTCTTTGCCTATTTTTATATTGGGTTATTTGTCATTGCGTTATTGAGCTATAAGGGTTCTTTATATATTCTAGATACGAGTCCTTTGTCAGTTACCTGGGACATTTACACTTGCAAGTATTTTCTGCCAGTCTGTGGGTTGCCTTTTTCATTTTTTTGATGGTGTCCTTTGAAGCACCAAGTTTTTATTTTAGTGAAGTCCAATTAATTTTTTCTTTGTCACTTGTGACTTTGGTGTCATATCTAACCAACTGTTCTCTAATTCAAATTCACAAAGTACTCCTGGGCTTTCTTCTAAGAATTTTATAGTTTCAGCTCTTACATTTAAATCTCAGATCCATTTTGAATTAAACTTTGTATATGATATGAGGAAGAGGTCCAACTTGATAAGTTCTCGTGTAGATGTCCAGTTGCCCCAGCACCATTTGTTGAAGAGATTATCTTTTCCCTATTGAATTGTCTTGGCACCCTTCTTGTGATGGTTAAATTTATGTGTCAGTTTGGCTTAGCTGTGGTGTCCAATCATTCCTTCAAACACTAGTCTAGACATTGCCGCGAAAGTATTTTGTAGATGTGATTAACATACACAGTCAGTTGATTTTAAGTTGACAAGATCTTACCTTTGATAATGTGGGTGGGACTCATCCAATCAGTAGAAGACCGTTAGAGTGAAAATGGAGGTTTCCCGGAGAAGAAAGAATTCTACCTCAAGACAACAACACAGAAATCTTGCCTGTGTTTTCAGCCTTTGGGCCTGTCCTTCAGACTTAAGACAGTAATATCAACTCACCTGAGTTTCCAGCCTGCCAGCAATATGCCCTGCAGATTTTAGACCTGCCAGTTCCCACATTACATGAACCGATTCCTCAAAAATAAATCTCTCTCTCTCTTTTTAAAGAGTTTTGGTAACCAGTTGCTTCTTAGATGTGCATTTATTTTTGAGAGAGAGAAAGAGAGTGAGGGAGGGGCAGAGAGAGAGAGGGACAGAGGATCCCAAGTGGGCTCTGTGCTGACAGCAGAGAGACTGATGTGAGGCTCAAATTCACGTATTGTGAGATCATGACCTGAGCTGAAGTCAGATGCTTAGCTGACTGAGCCACCCAGGTGCCCCCCAAAAATAAATCTCTTAATTCACACGTACATATATTCTATTGGTTCTGTTTTTCTGAAAAAAACCTGACAGATACACTTGTTGAAATCCCAATTGACCATAAATGCGAGGATTTATTTCTGGGATCTCTTTTCTATTCCCTTGATCTCTATGTACACCCTGACTCCAGAACTGCACTGTCTTAGCTGCGGTAGCTGTATAGTAATTTTCAAAGAAGGGTGATTCCACCAATTTTGTTCTTCTTTAGTCAAGACTGTTTTGTTTATTCTGGGTTGTCTGCATTTCTGTATGCATATGAGGATCCGTTTATCAATTTCTGCAAAAAAGGGAAAAAGGCAGCTGGGATTTTGATAGCATTGAATCTGTAGACCTCCTTTGGAATTATTTGTTTTAACGATATTGAGCCTCCCAGTTCATGAAGTTGGAATGTCTTTCGGTCCATTCTGGTCTTTGTTCATTTCTTTCAACAATGTTTTGTAGTTTTCAGTGTATGAGTGTTGCCCCACTTTTATTAAACGTATGCCTAAGTATCTCCTTCTTTTTATGCCAGTTTAAATGGAATGTGTGTTTAATTTATGAATTATTCATTGCTAGTGTAGAGAAATGCAGTTGACTTTTGTTACTGATTTTGCATCCTAAAGTTTTGCTAAACTCATTTATTACTTCTGCTAGATTATTTGTATGTATGGATTGTCCATATAGAAGATCGTGCCATCTGTGAATGGAGATAATTTCGCTTCATCTTTCACAATTTGGATGTTATTTATTTATTTATTTATTTATTTATTTATTTATTGCCTAATTGCCCTGGCTAGAACTTCCAATACAAGATAGAATAGAAGTGGTCAGAGTAGATATCCTTGTCTTCTGCTTGATCCTAGGGAGAAAGCTTTTTGGTCTTTCACCATTACTGTGATATTTGCTGTGGGTTTGTTTGCTTTGGAGATTCCCTTATCAGGCCGAGGAATTTCCATTCTATTCCTAATTTGTTTGTTTTGTTTTATCATGAAGGGATATTAGATTTTGCCAAATACTTTTTCTGAATCTGTTGAGATAATCACGTGGTTTTTGTCTTTTATTATATTGATATAGCATATGACATAAATGATTTTTTGTATGTTGAATCACCCTCACATTCCTGGGATAAATTCCACTTGGTCATGGTATATAATCCTTTTTATATATTACTGCACACACACACACACACACACTTAATCTAAAAACCACTATATTAAAAGCATTCAACAACAACAAAAATAAAATAAAATAAAATAAAATAAAATAAAATAAATAAAACAACCTACCAAGTCAAAAATAAAGCAAACATAAAATCCCTCCAGACAACTTTGTAAGTTGAAGATGACTTTGTAACTTTAAGAAATTATTATCTCCGGAACATCATCCAGTATAATACACTGGAGTTGACTAAAACCTAAAGTAGTTCATTCATATGAATCAAACCTCATCAGAAAAGCAGAATTCAATATGGTCCCTAGGACATTCCTGGATTCCTGCCACAATTCCCAGATATCACATACTTTTCTTCCTCCTTATCTGCATTTCCATTTGCTGCTTCCAGAGCCCTGTGGAGTAGGGGCAAGAGGTGAAGGTGCAGGCTTGGTAGGAAAGGCAGACACGTGGGATCCCCGTCACAGATGCAGCATGTTAGGGAAGGCACCAGGCCAGCAAGTAGAGATAGGAATGACCCAGGCATTATGTGTGTCTGGTGAACTCGGCCGTTGAGCATGGTCTTGAAGCCTGCGGGATCAGAGATCCCTTCAGTCACTCAGCTCCCTAGCCTTGAGCCACGCTATTGCAGCTGGGACAAGATGATCATTTGCACTTTGAGATGTGCATTTGCATTCTTGGAGCTTCCGTGTAAGGAGTCCCATTTATTTACGGTGGAAGAGCTGAATGTACAGAGAAATCGGGGGCTATTATGAAATCTTGGTCAAGGGCAAAGGACATCAAGGCACATGTAAAATTCATGTGATCTGTGCCCTCCCAATGTGTGTCAGAGGCGACAGCTTCACAGCACTCTTGTGTCTCCACATTATCCCCTTAATGTTGTTATAGGTCCCACCGCCAGGAAGAAAGTCTTCCTTACCTCTGACCAGCCTTTCCTCTTGTTCTATCATCACTGGAGATGGAGAACAGCTGCTCTCTTTTATGGACTCACAGTTAATTTAATTTATATCTGCTGTAAACATGATTTCTTAAACCTTAATAGAACATTTCAGTTCGGCATGTAGAAAGAGCCCTCTGCCTTGCCCCAGTCATTCCCAATAGATGTGTTTTATTGCATTAATTTATGTTTTTGTCTCTGTTGTTGTTGCTTGTTGTTTTTTCTTCCCCAACAGTGTGATTTTATTTTTATGACCATATTCTTCCTAAGAATTTTCTGGGCATGTGACATTCCAACATCTTACCAATGATTTATCCTGCTGATGGGTAGATGATCTCACCAAGACAATGAAATGAGAGGTTCAAGAATGCCGCATGGTCTCAAGGTGAGCAAAGACAGACCCAGGTATTATTACTATAGCTCTTCAAAGATGGTGTGGCTGGAGCTCGTGGCCGAAGCGTTTGTAGCCCGCTTCATTTGCGTTGCTAGCATCACGTGAGAAATATGTGAGGGAAAACATGGAATGAAATGAAGCGTCCTTCCCCTTTGGACATCCTTCTCCCTCCGCCAAAGGATGGAGAAGTCTTTTGCAAGGACGGCCTGGTACCTTCCACCCACTGTTGGCTGACCTGTAGCCCAGACGGCAGACATGAGTTGAGAAATGGGCATATGATTGTTCCAGAGAAAGTTGCATAAAATTTAAGCCATGGGGCTCGAGTGTCTCCAGTCCTGTAGACTTATGGCTTCACATGTGGAGGAGAGAATACAACAGCAGATTCATATCTGACTCATGTAGTAATGGCTCCCCACCAAAGCTCCTTGAAGTTCCCTTCAAAGTAAGTCAATAAATAGAGGCAGCTACTTGTGAGACTAGGCCTAATGCATCGTTTGGCTCAGTTCTGAGGAAAGTACAGTGTCTCTGTGACTGGCTTAGAAACGAGCGGACTGGGTTGCATTCGATCAGTTGGAAATGAGAAAGACAGGAGACCATCCCTACATGGAGGAGGCACTCTGTGAACGTTTATTGAGTATACTGAGCACCCACCTTTATTGAGCACCATCTAAATGCTAAGCTCTCTATACTCGGCATTTTGGACACAGTGGTGACTGAAAGACAAAAATCTCTATCCTCGAGAAGTTTCTATCCTATTAGAGAAGCTAGCCTAAAAATTACATTTGTAACATTGCCTCTGGTGGGGCTATCTGCGATTCTTCAGAAAAATGAAGCATGATAAGGAGCGAGAAATGGAGCGTGGGCAGGGGGGTACCTCATAGGAAGTAGAGGAAAACATCTCTGGGGGAGTGATTTGGGAGTGATTGGGGAGTGATCTGGAAAGGCACAGATTTGGGGAAAAAAATTGCCCTGAAACATCCTGAGCAGGAAAGAACTGGGCAGGTTTGTTAAATAACAAGAGGCCCTCCATATTTCGAGTGTCCTGAGGCACGTTGTTTGCTTTCTCTGAGCCTCGTTTTTCATATGGACATAAAGCCCAGATGTCATAAGAACCCTGTGGCCTCTTTCTCTCTTAAGACAGAGGAAAAATTGGCTCAAGGCATCTGCCTATCTCTACCACCACAACCACCACAATCCTGTGGCTAAAAAAAAAAAAAAAAAAAAGTCCAAAACTTCCTGCTCAAAGATGTTCCCTTTGTGGAGGGGCTCTGTGCTCATGCCCCTTCTGTGTCCCAGCCCCTGGTCCGCTGTGTGCAGGTTTGACTTTTGAGTCGTTGGCCAAGAAGACTTTTCTGTAAGAACTGTAGAAACCACCCCCTACCCCCGTCCGAGCAATTGGGTGCACAGCGGATGGATGGAAGATTGGGGGATGGGAGAGATCCAGGAGGGGGCACAGCCACCTTGTACAGGAATGGCATTCTAACACCTCAGCGGGAGGTGGCTGAGGTGGGAGTTTACTGGCTCTTTTTCAGGTCTGGCCTCTAACTTCTTTCCCCTCCTTTCCTTTCTTTTCCCCTTTTTCCTTCCCGCAGCAAAGCAACAATTTCTCCTTTCCAACCTCTTCTGACACCCTGAGAGCCCAATCACCCCCAAGACCATCTTTCAAAGTATTTTCCTGAACACACACAGTGAAATCTCTGAGTATAAATCTGGAGTCAGTTTTAGGGGGAAAAAAAAAATCCCGTTCACATCCTTATGTTGAAATTGCAGGTTATCATATTAACTTTGCAGGGTTTTTGGAAGGATTACCTGGGATAATACGCACACCAGCTTTGGCAACATGGCTTGGATAAAGTAAATGCAGATAAGCAGAGGCAGTGATGGGGGCGGGGGAGGGTGGTTGTTATCAACTCACTACTCGTTTGAGGCCAGGCAACCCTGGGGATTAAGTTGGAGAAGTTAGGGAGACGAGGGCCCCGGGAAAGCTCTCGCCACAAAAACGACAAAGAAAATCGCTGTCAAAGGAGGAAGAGAGCACACTGAGCGGCACCAGGAGGCCAAAAATAACCAAAACCCTCTAGAGATTTGGAGGTACAGAAAAGCAGAGCAAAATGGATGGAGAAGAAAGGACATGGGCGGGGGGTGGGGGGCAAGATTGTGCCATAAAATTTTAGATAAACCTTGTGAGAATTCAGATCTCGGTCCCAAGCCTGGTAGGTGAACGGCCTCTCCCACACTGCGTAACACACATTTACTGAATGCAGTTCAGAGTACAAAGCGAGTTTTGGTTAAAGATCATGGTGTACAGATGTTAATTCTCCCCCT